TATTATTATTATTATTATTATTATTATTATTATATGGTATTTGGTCATAATTATTTTAATAATTATAGAGGAATATTATTTTATACATTTTAAATAATTATTATTTTGGACAATTATTTTGTACATATTAAATAAGTATTTTTATTAGCGTTTCTAAATAAATATTTATATGTTTATAAGAGAAGGTTGATTTTATATTTATATTTTGTTACTGAATTCCGACAGCCCATGTAACAGCCCAAAATTGCTGGGCCAGAGGCCCAATTGATTGCCTAGAACGGGTCGTTTCAAAAGTGAAACGGGTCGTTCCGAAATAAGAAAAATACCCAAAATTGGAGAAGCAGAACCGGCCGTTCTAGTTAGGAGAACGGGCAGTTCTGGTGGGAGAGGGAGCCGTTCTGCTGGTTTTGAGAACGGGTCGTTCTGGTTTTGGAACGGGTCGTTCCAATTGAGAATTTTGCGTACTTTCGAAGGGCCTAGAACGGCCGTTCCACTTTTGGAATGGGCCATTCCGGTAGGTGAGCCTGAAATCCTATAAATAGCGCCCCTCACCTCTCATTTTCACACATCTCTCATTCTCTCTTCCTATTATCTTCTGTTCTCTCTTCTTTCCCTCTTCTTCTCTCTGAAGACCAAGGGGCATTTAGAGGAGGAGACCAAGGAGATTCCTGTTTTAGTTCAACTGCTGTTTATCCAGGTACGGGGGAAAATGGGATTATTTATATGTAGAGTTACATGAGGGAATTTGGTAGAGAAAGAATCCTTTAGGATTATGAGTAATTTTATAATTATTTCTATTTGGAGAATTATTAGTTCAATTAAGAATTATATATTGAGGTTTATGAATATATGATTAATTTGTAAAAAATAATGATCTGAGAGAGAGAACGAAACTGTAGAATAGTGCCTGTGAGCTAAGTTTTGGAACAATTGAGGTTTTACTATTTATGTTAAGATTGTATTAAATTGATAAGTCCATTGAATATTATATTAATTTATGAATGTTGTTGTTATATTACTTGATAAAAATTAATGATTTAGATGTGAATTGCTTGAGGTGTATGAAACCCATTATTTTGGACTTATCTGATATGTGTATGGAATTGGACTATGAGATGTTGTGTGGAATGTGAATGAGATGTGATTGTGGTTCTTCACACCTATGACCAGGGGTGAGCACGGCCCGAGATTGTTATATGGGTATCGTGACCTTGGTTAACATGTCAGGGGTGAGCACGGCCCTGGGATAGGGATAACGTGACCTTGACACAGTGTTATATCAGGGGTGAGCACGGCCTTGAATTGTTACGTGGGTATCGTGACCTTGGTTAACATGTCAAGGGTGAGCACGGCACTGGGATAGGGATAACGTGACCTTGACACAGTGTTATATCAGGGGTGAGCACGACTTGAGATTGTTAAATGGGTAGCGTGACCTTGGCATAGTGTGAATTACAAGATTTGTGATGAATGGTGTGATTGAGAATTATAACGTGATGACGATGCATGATTGATTGAAATAAGATATGTTGAAATATTTATGAATATTAGTTATAATGAGATAATATGTTGTGTTTTCTTATGTGCTATATATATAGATGTTTTCTTTTCTTACCGAGCGATTTGTGGACGTTTTAGGTGAGAAGATCCAGCTACGAGTGGCATCTAGAATGCCAAGAGTTAAATTAGGGGTATGCTCTGATATTATGACATCGTGGTAGAGGACTTTTAGGACAAAATTTTTATATGAATTTGGAATTGTAAATATCATTTTGAAAATAATTTGTAAACTCTTGTGTTTCATTTTCAAAATCCTTATTATTGTGGTTATTGAAGAACGATTTTTGAAGTTTCTCATGTGAGCCCTTTTACCGAAATTTAAAACATTTATTTATAAAGTTACAATATGTGTTGGGGTAGTAAGGGTGTCACATTTAGTGGTATCAGAGCAGGTCGATCCAATCGACCGTGAGTTATGAGTCTACTATGCTTGTTCGGTAGATGAATGATAGAATGAATTAATTGTGGAGTTTATTGATATGTTGGTATGATGATTGATTTTGGTGATTGCTATTTAATTGTGTGTACTCTAACAATGATTTATATTATGAGAAGGATAATGATGATGTTTCCCTTGGTGTTGTGTTTAGTTGTGTATTGTTTTTCAGAATTTGGCTGAAAGACATGATATTGCTTAGTTGATGTTATTCATGATTACTCATTGGTTTTGATACTTCTTACTTACGTAAGAAGTAGTGGATGAATGGTATCGCTCGTATTACGAGCATATGTGCCAGTAGTAGTGGATGAATCCTTGCTAATCAACTAGAAATTATTGGGACCTTAGATTTGGGTGAGACATTGATTTGTCGAGAGTTTACGGTTAATGGAATTTCTGGAATCTATAGTGGTAGTGATTGAATCCAAGGAGGTTGTATCTGAGAATTAGAGTTTTGATATTTTTGATGAGAGGTTGGAACGTTGGAAATTTCCTTAAGTATTGGTGCTTACATGTGAATTTTATTCTCTAAGTATTTTGTACCGAATATGTGAGCTGTTAGGATTGTAGTGGAAAGCTTGAATATGAGTTTAAGGTGGAAAGGAGTGAGTTTGAAATGGTTGAGGTATTTAGTGGAATGTTCGTACACTATCGTTGTATGGTATAGGAGATATTTTCACTACAGTTTTGTTGTGCCAGTAGGAGTACCGTATTGATAGATTTAGATTTGAAAGCTTAGAGTGGCTAGGGAGACTTTCCTATCTTCACTCGCTTGATGGGAAGTGAAGATTTGTTCCACCTTTATCTCCCAATCTAGGTACCCCTCCACATCATCCTTTCCATGAAAATAAGGGAGATCTACCCTAGATTCCCTTGGCTTGGGGGTCCTATGAACCCTTCTAGGAGGTTGTTGATAATGATCTCCTAAAGCTAGGCTATTATCATGCATTGACTACCCTAGGGTTGAACTATTTTGGAAGCTATGTCTACTACGGTGCTTGTGGTATAATTTTTCTTCTTTCTCCTTTAATATACGAATTTCCTCCTCTAAAAGAGAAAGTTGAGCCTCCTTTCAAGTTTTTTTTGAGTCTTTGTTTGGACTCTTGCTCTTTCCAAAGTTTAAGTGATCTTAATGCGTGTGTTACTTTTGACATGTCATTGTAATCACTTGAATTACTATCACTTTGTGGAGTAGAAAATTCTTCCATTATAGGATAAAGGTTCTTTTTGATGAAAGAAGTTTGAAAAGCAATTTTTATGCAAGGTTAAGACTATTGGAGGATTAAGTATACAAATTGAACTTTGGAGGGAGGTGAGCTACTAAGAGCCACTTAAAAACCAAGCCTCTTCAAGTAAAAATTACTAATCCCCTTTGTAGTTAATCTCTACCAAATTCTTTTTAATGAAAATTATTTTTTTTGATGATTTGTGATTTACTAGAAACTAGACGAATAAAAGCAAGTAAAACAAGTATTTAAAGCAAGAATTAAACTACCTAACGTGTCCTATGTGAGAGCTTGAAAGATACCAAAGATCATTCAAGGACCACTCTCACAAAGTACTAGCGAAAATTAATACCTAAGGAGAGATGGTTGTGTACCAAAGACACACCCAAGACACTCCTTTAAATGGTCAATTACAAAAGTTATACAAGGCTAAACAGCAAAGAACAAGTGGCCCAAAAAGATTAGAAAACAGCCACCAAGAATTAGTGACCAAATTTGCAACAATTTTTCAAATTAGTAAGGAAAAAATTGGTCTCTAAAATCCGTCACTAATGCTTATATATATATATTTTTTAAAATAAATTACAAATTCCAATTGAATCTCCAAAAGTCTCCACGGCTGATCCAGTCCAGCACTACAATTTTTCCAGCCAAGAGTGTTTATGGTGTATGTTTTGGAGTAGCCAAATCCGAGAGCCACCTATGTCCTTTCCTCCTCCTTTTCTTAGGCTTCTTTTGATGACCCTTGTAGAACTATCTTCTAGGAAGATAGGCTAGGTCAAACTTAGGCCACACTTGATGTATAAACAATGATAAGAACAGCAAAGAGAATTTAAGAAGTAAGGAAGATAAAAGTAGAGTAGGAAATGACAATTTGGATGACACAAATCAAGTATTTGACTAGAACAAGAAGGAATTGACCTAAGATAAGTTCTAGAATGGATGCATAAAACCAAAACACTTTAAGATATGTAAGCTGAAAATATTATGAATCAAGGACAAGTACAAACCGAGAAGAAAAATTGATAAACCAAACTCCTTAATTGGCTTTTGCTTTTCAAATTAGGTTTAGCACTTTTTTTTAATCAATTTGTTTTTGAATTTTCTTTTGATCTTTTCTTCTAATTTTTTTTTAATCTTAGGAGTTGCCTTTTTCTTTCAAGAGTTATGTAGAATATAAGTCTCGATCACCTTAGGTAGCACTAACAACCCGGATTCAAAATGTGATGCCAAATGACAAGCAAATTAGGTTTAAATTCAAGTAAAATGTGACATGCTTTTTATGCTTGCTAATTTTGAATGGCACATGCACGGTTTTAGGCTCCAAAATTCAAATTCAAATGAGCTACAAACACAATTTTCCAGCACACTTCCAATTAACAAGATCAAACACTCACGGATTTAGAAAAATTTTGAAGACATTTTCAAAAATTGGAAACCTAAAAATTTTCTAAGAAAACTACTAATGATCTAATAGTAGTTCATGAACTCAAAGTAAAACAAAACTTATGAGCTTATACCAATGACTATGGATCTCAGCCAAATCCAGAAAATGATTCAAGATTCAATTCAAAAAAATTTCAAAACGGATCAACAAGCAAAGCTAGGAAGGATGAACATAAAAGAACTACACAATCCTACTAAACATGGATTCAAAAATAAAACCAAATGACTCAAGCATGTAATGACCGAATAAAATGTCAAATATGACTCAAAGAAAGCAAAACGTTCATAGGCAGAAAATTTCCTAAAAAGGCACAAGAATGGAGCATGATTCATGGAAGCATATTATCACAAAAGCATAATGAATCATTCAAGCATAAGAAACTAGATCCTTCAAATTTTGAGACAAAAATAGATCTAGGAAATAGTAAACTCTTGTGACAAGGACTCAAAAACAAGATGAACACAAGATGAAGAAAATCAATCCACGGATCACAACAACAAAAGACAAGAACAAGACTTATCTCTTGAAGAAACCGG